GCTTAAGGCTCTGTACAGCGTCAGACAGGAAAACCTTTCCACTGGGTGTGACCAGAGCTAAGACCTTCTCCCGACTTCTGTCCGTTGTCCAAGATTTGAAGCTTTTTCCTTTTATCCTGATTTTTAAAACATTAAGGGGAGCAGGGGAAGGTGGAAGAGGGTAAAGGAATAAATGGTGATGGAAGGAAAGTGACTTGGGGTGGTGAACACGCAATACAACATACCGGTGACGTATGACAGAACTGTACACCTGAAACCTGTGTAACTTTATTAACCAGTATCACCCCAATAAACTCAATAAAAAGGAAAAAAACCATTAAGTCAACTTTATTAAGGCATATTTACATGTAACAAAATGCTACCCTTTAAGGTATGCCGTTTGATGCGATTTTTTCCATCCATTCACTCACCCACCCATCCATCATCTATCCACTTACTCACCCACCCACCTAGCCATCCATCCATCCATTCATCATCCACTCATCCATCCATCCACTCATCCATCCATCCATCCACTCATCCATCCATCCATCCATCCACTCATCCATCCATCCATTCCACTCATCCATCCATCCATCCATCCACTCATCCATCCATCCACTCATCCATCCATCCATATATTAATTCATTCATTCATTCATTCATTCATTCATTCATTCATTCATCCACTACTGTGTTGTCACCGACACCATTATTGCGCTGCTCAGTCAAGGCACCGGCCACTCCCATCACCTGAGAAGTCCTCTTATATTCTTCCCAGTCACATCTTCTAGTCAATCACTCTATTTTGAGAAGAAAATTTAAAAACATATATATTTTTTCTGTCCTCATCTATTGTCTACCCCAACACACTTATGACTATTTTCTCTTTCATTCTTACTGCTCCAGCTGCCTGGAAATTTGTTGGATTAAAACATTGAGATGCTTACGGCTCTACTCACTAGGAAGAGGAAAGCATTCCTCACGATTTGTACTCCTTCTCAGTGACCTCTAACTCCTCCGCCTCTAAAATCCCCATCCATCCATCCATCCATCCATCCATCCACCTGCCCACCCACCTATCCATCCATCCATCCATCTATCATCTATCCACCTACCCATCCACCCATCATCCATCCATCCATCATCCATCCATTCATCCATCCCATCCATCCTGCCCACCCACCTACCCATCCATCCACCCATCTATCATCTATCCACCTACCCATCCACCCATCATCCATCCATCCATCATCCATCCATCCATCCATCCATCCATCCATCATCTACCCACCTACCCACCTACCTAGCCATCCATCCATCATCCGTCCACCCATCCATCATCTATCCACCTACCCACCCACCTAGCCATCCATCCATCCATCCATCATCCATCCACCCATCCATTATCCACCCACCTAGCCATCCATCCATCATCCATCCATCCATCATCTATCCACCTACCCACCCACCTATCCATCCATCCATCCATCCATCCATTCACTCACCCACTCATCTACCCATCCATCCACCTATCCATCAGTCCATCCATCCATCCATCATCTATCCACCTACTCACCCACCTAGCCATCCATCCATCCATCATCCATCCATTTAACCACCCACCTATCCATTATCCTTCATCCATCCACCCATCCATCATCTACCCACCTACCCACCCACCTTGCCATCCATCCATCCATCCATCCATCCATCCACTCACCCATCTACCCATCCATTCATCTATCCATCCATCCATCCATCCACCCACCCATCCATCATCTATCCACTCACCCACCCACCCATCTACTCATCCATACAGTTATCCATCAATTCATCTATCCATCCAGTAACTGTTGAATGTCTACTGTGAGCCACGGGCTACCAGGAATCCTGCCTCCACTTGACTTATATTCTAACAAGGAAGACAAACAATTTAAAAATTATAATAAAAAAAATACATATCACAATGGGGAAATATGGGGTACAGTGGGAGGTGCAGGAGCAGCAGCTGGGAATCTTCTCAAGGGGAGAGGATTAGTGATGGGGCTTGTAGAGCAATGTCAGTAAGCCAGTTAATCACTCAGTTGTATTTATTGAGCACTGCAGGCGGGGCCTGTTGGAAGCTGCTGCTGACTCACAGACGGGAGAAGGACTGACATGGGCATTAATCCGGCTGGGCTGGGGCAGTGGGCGATGTTCTGGGCAGAGAAAACCTGGGCCAGGGTCCCTGGGGAAGAGACCCTGGTGAGCTAGGAACACTGAGAATTACACATCACCAGACTAGGAATGTCAGCCAGAGGGGGCCTGGGGGACTGAACCAGGGAGCTGTGAGCAGCCGTTAGAGCGACCCTCGGCTCTCATTTGCTGTGCAGAATGGTCATCGAATCTCTAATCAGAATCTTGTAAGAAAAAGAAATGCCGAATGTAGACACCACACCTTAATCCCTTACAAATCATTTCTTTCTTTCGCAAACAAAGCTGTGATGCCCGGCCGGCGTGGCTCAGTGGTTGAGCGTCGACCTATGAACCAGGAGGTCACAGTTCAATTCCCGGTCAGGGCACAGGCCTGGGTTTTGGGCTCGATCCCCAGTGTGGGGCGTGCAGGAGGCAGCCGGTCAATGATTCTCTCTCACCACTGACGTTTCTATCTTTCTTCCCCTTTCCCTTCCTCTCTGAAATCAATAAAAAAAATATAAAAAAACAAACCCCCCAAAACCAAAGCCATGGTTAAGGTGACCTTTCACCAGCAGAGGGAAGGGAGCACTGAAGAGGGGGTATGAGGGTCCGATCCCCCCCTGGGGTCACAGATGTGACTGGAGCCTGCCAGGAGGGCTGGCAGCAGAACAGAACTCCCCGGCCTCCTGCTTCGGGAGCGGAAGGCCAGAGAACCGGGGAAGAAAGGGTGTATTTCGCATTTATTATATTCTAAACTCCCCGGGTGATTTGAAGGTAAAGTGCTGATGTGTAGCTTCTGTGCGAATTGTTGACCTTGAGATGAACGCTGCTTGGTAGGCAGATGCTCCCCAGGCTCCGCAGCCTGTGAGGGCGACACACCCGCTGCCGACTCACTTCTGTCCTCACTCGTCCAGTGTGTTAACTCTTTGCTACTGGATATTTGATACAATCTATTCCTCTGTGTGAGCTTTGTGCATACGCCTGGAATTAAAGCTCTCTGATGACCCAGGCCTCCCGTGGGCACACTCACCCACGCGCTGGGTCACCCGTGGGCTCACTCACCCACACGCTGGGTCTCCCATGGGCTCACTCACACACGCACTGGGTCTCCCATGGGCACACTCACCCACGCGCTGGGTCTCCCATGGGCACACTCACACACGCGCTGGGTCTCCCATGGGCACACTCACACACGCGCTGGGTCTCCCATGGGCACACTCACACACGCGCTGGGTCTCCCATGGGCACACTCACACACGCGCTGGGTCTCCCATGGGCACACTCACACACGCGCTGGGTCACCCATGGGCGCACTCACCCACGTGCTGCGTCTCCCGTGGGCTCACTCACCCACGCGCTGGGTCTGCCGTGGGCGCACTCACCCACGCGCTGTGTCTCCCGTGGGCGCACTCACCCACGCGCTGGGTCTGCCGTGGGCGTACTCACCCACGCGCTGTGTCTCCCGTGGGCGCACTCACCCATGCGCTGTGTCTCCCGTGGGCGCACTCACCCACGCGCTGGAGACGTCAAGTCCCACACGCCTGCGGCCGCAGGTCAGGCTTTGCTGCCGAGGATTTACAGCTGCACGAGCTTGCACTTCACTCAGTCTCACCCTCCACGTTGACGTAGTGTCCGTTTCGGGGGCTTGTCTTTTTCTTGGATGGGTCTCCTCACCATCAGCTCAGAAATATATTCTGTGAAGATCTCTTGAGGAACACGCCAGGCCACGGCAGGGTGTGTTCTGCATGATCCCGCCGGCGTGTGCCTGTCAGTTCTGCATTTGCTGAGCCCCTCACAGACGGGGACTGAGAAACCCCGGAGGCCTGGGCACGCTCACGACTCCAGGCCTCATGTCCATCAGCCTGGTGACCAGCGACTGCGAGCACCACGGGGGTGGAATTTCAGTGGAGACGGCCCCACGTACCTGCCACGGGACAGCTTATGGGACACTGTCCAGGTGAGGGGGGTGGTTGGTTTGTTGTGATTTGCATCAGGGTCTGCCCGCTTCACCGCAGTGGGACCAACCGCCTGGGCGTCCCTGTAGTGAGGGGACCTGCCCGGAGCCAGGGGTCAGGCCACGCCACGCCTCGCCTCCTTCCAGGTGATTTATGGAACAGGGTCCCGGGCCCCCAACGGTGCCAGCGCCTCTGGCCACCCCTGGGCTCCGAGCCACTCTAAGGCACCATCAGTGACAGCCCCCCCCCCCCCGATGGCCACTTAGTGAACCTGCTCAAGCATCAGACTCACAGACGCGGCCGAAGTGTGGGTTTCCCAGCAAGGTTCAGCCTCACGCACACGCGGCTTTAAAACATGCACGTGCTGTTGAGACGAGGCTGCCGCCGAGGGGAGAAGCACGCGGTTTTCATGGGAAAAGGATGAACATGAACCTCGCTCAGGATGCCTGTCACTGGCTGGCGTCCAGCAACAGATGCTGGTGAGGTCGGCTGAACCCCCCCCCCCCCCCCCCCCCACCCATCGTAAGGAGAGTCCCGGCCCGAGGCTGCCTGCCGTGCGGACAGACCCTCGGACAGAAGAGGCCTCTGTGACTTCCCATCTCCCATGGGCGTCTTTTTCTAACAGAAAAGCCCACTTTTTGGGTGACGGTCACAGCGCTGCTGTTTGGCGGAGGTGCCGGAGAGGGTTTCCCTCCCGGTGGCGTCTGCTCCCTCCGAGTGCCCTCCGCTGTCCCCGTACTAGTGACGTGTCAGGGTGGCGGACCCCCGTGAGCCACAGCCACGAGGCAGCAGTTTCTAAACTCAGCCTGACGAGGGACGGTCCCCCCGAGACTGTGGATGGACTCAGAGGCCCATAGACCGACCGTCAGAAAGAACAGGACAGGCAGCTCACGTCCATGAGAGCACGCTGTGCGGTTTATTGTGGAAAGCAGTCAATCAGACACTCCGAGGCTAGCCGCCAGGTAAGTACTCCGCTGGGAACCCCCGAAGGCCCAGCCCCCCGCCAAGCACTGTAAACAGGGCTTTGAGAATATTCAGTCAGTTTCTTACATGAACCACCAAACGTGCTCGCTTCCTTAAAGAGAACCAGCCCCAGCCCCAGAGCCGCGCTGTTCCTCGCAGCGGGAGTTTAAAATGACAGACATCGTCATGGTGCTTTAAGGCCAGAACAGAACACCCGCTTACCAGACATACAACTACGAGGAGAGTCAGAGTGAGCCGCGTGAACGAGGGGGAAGGCACTGTGTCCCGCTCACGTCGCCGGCGCCCACTGCCCAGCCACCTCCGAGTTCTACCGCACACGCCCCGGGGGGCACCGCCGCCAGCTGGGCTCCCTCTGCCACGTGTCTCCACCAGGTGCACGGCAGGTGTGAGCAGATGCCACCGGCTTTATTTACAAGTTCACCTCGATGTTCCGTGGGGCAAAACCCAGCTACCTCACCCAGCCACTCCCAGGAATCATAAACACCGTGTGAAAGAGACAGACAGACCGACGCCAACCCCAGACGCCTGCGCCGAGACGCCAAACCCACCGGAGGCCGGCGGGGAGCTGCTGTTCTCTGACGTGGGGAGGGGACCCCACCTCGACCCTCAGATGGACTGTCTGAGCACGGCGACAGGCTGTGCCGGCAGGACGCCGAGCCACGGATCAGGTAGGAGCCGCGAGCCGGAAAGGTGGCAGTTCCCACGCTCTGATCTCCAGACATGCAGAACAAGGGGGAGCTGCACGGACAGGTTAGTTCTGGGGCCGGTAACAGACATGCAGGACCGTCGGGCGGGAGGGAGGAGGGGGCGCCACGCGTCCACACTGCACTGCGTCCCCTCAGCTCCCGCCTCAGACGCTTCGTGGTCGCGGGCACTCTCCCCGGAGAGGCTCTACCCCGAAGGCTGCTGGGGATCAGCCTGCCCTTGGCAGAACCAGAACCACTGGGAAAGGGACGAAATGGACCGCTGCCGGGTTTGCGTGAGACGCCCCCTGAGGTCCGTGTGCGATGACCCAGCTGCGTGACTGGCGGACATCCGGGGCCACGCGCAGCGATGCGGTCGGGGCCAGGAGACCAAGCCCGGTCCTCCGCTGACAACGAGAGCGGGACTGTCCGCACTGCGGCCCGGCCGCCGCTCCCAGGCCGAGGGCCGCCTCACAGTAACAGATTCCTCCGGTGTGACCGGGATCGCACAGCGCCGCTCAGCTGAGGTGGAGGGGCGTGTACTCCGGCCGCCTGGTCTGGATGATCTTGGGTTTGGGCCTCTTCATCCTTTCCATCTCCTCCTCCTCGTCCTCCTGCTCGCTCTCGCACACGTGCACCACGACGCTGGGCGTGGTGGCGGTCGCCGCGTGCAGCTCGTACTTTTCCCCTGGAGAGAGAGCAGCGCAGGGTCACTCGGGCGAGAGCGGAAGGGCGAGCACAGGGACAAGTGTCCGGGCGGCGCAGGCAGAGGGAACGGGGGACACGCCCCGGACAGGCCTGGCTTCGGTGGCGCCTCCCAGACAGGGGGAGCTGCGAGCAGGGCCACCGCCTCCCCTGCAGGGGCTCCTGTCCGCTCGGAAGGCGCCTTCGCCCACAAAAGGCGGGCAGATGCCTTTGCTCAGCCGCACAGTGAGCCTGGGAGGCTGTAACTGTCTGAAAAGGCGCCAGGGCCTCGGCTGGGGGAGAGCTGCTGGGAGGGTCAGATGGTCACGGGCAACCTTGGCCACGGTGCTCCTAACCAACCCTCCAACCTACCCATCAGGCGCCACCCAGAGGTGCGGGGGTGGGACTACGTTTGCAAAACCTCGGCCATCTTGTGGGCTGCAAAGCACAGCCAGACTATGACAAGTCACCAGGCTCCGTTAGGGAGCCCAGGGCACGCGGGTTTTAGGGAGTCTGTTTCTACCAGATCTTCTCCCTCAGCAGCGCCCTCTCCAGCAGCCTGGCCCTCTCCCCGCAGGGGCCCGCCCCCCTGCTCTGCTCCTGGGAGACCCCATCCCCCCTGCTCTGCCCTGGGGAGACCCCATTCCTCCTGCTCTGCCCGGGGAGACCCCATCCCCCCTGCTCTGCCCGGGGAGACCCCGTCCCCCTGCTCTGCCCAAGAGGGACCCTGTCCCCCCTACTCTGCCCGGGGAGACCCCGTCCCCCTGCTCTGCCCGGGGAGACCCCATTCCTCCTGCTCTGCCCGGGGAGACCCCGTCCCCCTGCTCTGCCCGGGGAGACCCTGTCCCCCCTGCTCTGCCCCTGGGAGACCCCATCCCCCTGCTCTGCCCGGGAGACCCCGTCCCCCTGCTCTGCCCGGGGAGACCCTGTCCCCCCTGCTCTGCCCCGGGGAGCCCCCACCCCCCTGCTCTGCCCGGGGAGTCCCCATTCCTCCTGCTCTGCCCGGGGAGACCCTGTCCCCCCTGCTCTGCCCCGGGGAGCCCCCACCCCCCTGCTCTGCCCGGGGAGTCCCCATTCCTCCTGCTCTGCCCGGGGAGACCCTGTCCCCCCTGCTCTGCCCCGGGGAGCCCCCACCCCCCTGCTCTGCCCGGGGAGTCCCCATTCCTCCTGCTCTGCCCGGGGAGACCCTGTCCCCCCTGCTCTGCCCCGGGGAGCCCCCACCCCCCTGCTCTGCCCGGGGAGTCCCCATTCCTCCTGCTCTGCCCGGGGAGACCCTGTCCCCCCTGCTCTGCCCCGGGGAGCCCCCACCCCCCTGCTCTGCCCGGGGACTCCAGCCCTCAGCCTGATCGCCTTGGCAGGAGCTGTGGGAGCACATGCCGCCAGCCGGCCGCCCGCCTCGACCTTCACGCGCCACCGGCATAGGTAACCGATCCCTGCCCGCCGCCGCACAGGACATTTCAGAAATGTAACCTTTTCCACATGAAACTGCTGACGGCCGAGAAACTGAAACCCTTGGCGAGGACATCTGATTGTGGCTCAAGGAGAAACGAGGGGCCATGGCTCAGCACTTACTCCTCTGCTGCGGGGACCAGGCGGGGCCCCCCTCTTCACCCCGAGACCCCACACCCGCCTCCTCCCCAGACCCTCTACCGCACGGCCAGGCGCCCCCAACAGTTTACTGTTTCGGGAAACCATGAGCTGAGCGCAGCCAGGGCCAGGCGCCGTGGGAGCTTCCCCGGCCCCACGGGTGGTCAGAGCCCGTCTCACAAACGAGCCGAGGCCAGGGAGTCGGTCCCCCCGAGGCTCACACCTTGTCCCCTCGGGGACTGGAGCCTTCTATCTCTGGCCAGCTCCGCAGGGAGCAGCCCCTGGGGCAGGAGGGGTGCGGGGGGGCTCGGCCCTTCCTTCCTGTGACCAGTGGCTCTGCACCCCGACACTGGGCAGGGAGCTGAGAGTCAGGCAGTGACAGGGGACCCTCCCACAGAGCAGCATCTCCAAGGGGTCTGGTTTCCTTCCCACAGTCCACGCTCATCTCCACGCGGAGCCCACACAGGCTGTCAGTGGGTAAGATGGGGTCACGGGATGCTGGCCAGGAGGGGCCCTGGCGTTCGGTCCCCACAACCCCCTACCTCCCTGTGTGCTCCTCCCTAAGGAGCGAGGCCAGAGGCAGCACGCCACGCCCCACGAGTTCCACTGAAGCTGGAGGTGCAGACGGGTGGTTCTCGCTGGCACCAGCCACACGGGGTGGGAAGGATAGTGGGGAGGCCATGCCTCCTGACCCCGAGCACCTGCGTCTGGGCCCTCAGCACTGTCTCTCCTCACCGCTGCCCCCCCCCCAGGGCCTACTCACTTACCCCCCCCATCTGGGAGCCCGCTCACCTGGTCCTGGGACCCCGCTCACCTGGCCCTGGGGCCCCGCTCACCTGGCCCGGGGGCCCCGCTCACCTGGCCCTAGCTTGGAGATGGCGTATAAGAGATCGTAATTTATGACGGGGGTGGCGTCTTCCACTTGCTTCCAGCCGACAGGCGGCGAGGCGGGAGGAGAGATCAGAAACTGCTTGTCCGGGTTTGGGGGGGCCAGGTGGGAGCTTCCGATGTGCAGCGTCTGGGAGAGAAAGGGGAGGCGATGCAGCAGCCGCAATGCCGTTCCCAACGCAGGTGCCAGGACAGGGCCAGGTCGACCGCGTGGAAAGCGGCCCAAAGGGTGTCTGGGCTCGGGTTCGGGGGAGCCTGCCAGGACTGGGGCTCACAGTGCTCAAGCTCGGAGGCGGAGGGAGAATGGACAGAGGCGGTCTGTGTGTAAATGGGTCCGGTCAGGATGAGCCTGGACGCCCTCCTCCCGGCTCCTCACACGGAGGCGCCTCATTCTTCAGGGACCAGGCAGGGCTGGGGACCAGCTCCCACCATCAAACCACCTCTGATCCTATTGGAGCTTAAAAGTTCTACCAGCGCTTAGGGGGCTGAGCAGCAAATCTCACCATTGGGTGGTCCCCTCCCCACACAATCTGCACAGGCATTTACTCGAACCATCAGAACACGTCGTGGAGGGACTAAGCCGTTATTTACAGGAAACCCACCCAGGGCAGCAGGGGCAGCTCACAGCCAGGCACCTGCAGAAACCTGCGCCCACTCACCACTAGGGGGCGGGGCGGGGCAGGCGCCCGCTCTAAAGTCCAGGGAGTTGGCCTTTTCTGCTCAGGAAGCTTCCCTAGAGGGGCTGCTCCCTGCCTGGGGAACACAGCCCATACCCTGCACCCCGCCCCCCGCCCCCCGCTCCCCGCGGGGCTCACTTTAACCGGAGTGGCACCCCAGAAGCCATCGAATGGAACTTTGTGGTCACCTTGAAGGTGGTCACCCCCCATGGAGGCCCGGGCACTGGAAGGTGGTGAGCAGGAGGCAAAGCAAACGCGGCCCACAGCGCTAGCTGCTGCCGAGGACCCGGCGCGGGCCCCTGGGGGGGCGGCACCCCCATTAAATTCTCAGAAACCTACTGCCAAGCCTCGGGGCCGGGGCCACGCCCACCCAGGGCAGGCTGCCACCTGCCCATCAACACTCCACCCAAGGCCACCTGTGAAGCCACTTCACAGAACCTGCGCTTTCTGAAGAGAGGGGAGACTGGGAACCTGGAGGATGGGTTCACCTTTCTCAGGACGGAGTCTCGGATTTAAATCGATGCAGGGCGTTATCACTGTCCAG